CACGCACGCGCGCGCGCGGGTACCTGGAGGCGCGCACTTTTTTAATCCTTACGAGTGCAAACCAATTTCCTTTGTTTAATTGGGAAAAGCAGGTGGTGGTGGTGGTGGGGAGGGGGCATTACGATTCGTTAATATCATGTCAGGCACCTGAGTAACCATGGTTATTATAGCGGCGAAGTGCTCATTAATAGAGACTTATTTCTTTTGACCGTGCCTGGGAAATGACGCTGGGTCCATCAGAGACCCCGCAGCACTCCCAGGCAGCATCGCCGCCTCGGGCACCGTGGGTCGCCGAGGGGAGGGGAGAGGCCACAGCGGCCGCCGGTCCCGGCTCGCGGCTTTCCCGACAACGCCGGGAGCGCTGTCGCTTCGCGTCGCCGATTGGCAACGTGGATAGCGTAAAACAAAAGTAAAACATTACATCATAAGCCTTGTCGGGGCACAAATGCGACATATACATGCGGAGCTATCGGTAAACCCCAGGAGCCGCTTTCAGATGCGATTACCGCTTCAAAACGTTCGCCATGCCGAATCAGAATATGGATTTCTACCGGAGGAATCCGATGAGCTATAAAGCTCCCCCCCCTACCCACAGATGCCCATTCCGCAGCAACGATTCTAATAGCACGGCGCCTGCGACTCTGATTGGTCAGGGGCAGTCATCTTAAACTCACCAGCGGCAGGCTTAAAGTTACCGCGTGGTTGCGTCTCCCCCCTCGTGTCTCAATTAAAAGGTTAAAGGTGCGGCCCTAAATCGAACTTATACCACCAGGTGTGCAGTGCGGTGCGCTCACCACTGCGCCATCACTCCCCACCCTCTCACCCTCCACACACAGACGCAGAGATTCCCCATCGTTAGAGACAGCTGGGGGAAACGTTATGCAAGTGAGCTCTTAAATTCTAGATTTTAAGCTTTCGTGACTGCAAGGATTCATAGTCTTTGGTGACTTTACCGAAAAAAAGCAAAGAGTATGAGCTCTTAAAGCAGGCACGCCCCGACCGCCTTTGTATCCCCATTGATGACGATGCGAAATAAGTTCAAAATGCAGTGCATTTATAAACACAGCAGCGGCAGATTTTGACAGCTAGGAAATGAACCTGTAACGCGAGGATAAATATCCCGTGATACTCCTCTTGAAGTGCACCTAGCTTGGGACGGGCGTCCGTACAATTGCAGTGAATACCTGTCCTGTATATTCACGGTACGAGCTATACACGGGGGTGCGTGCGGACATCATCACAATCATCACCGCCACCTGCCAAGATATATCCACCGCTGGAGGGAAGCCTATCCAAACCCCGAAGCAATATCTTAACGGCACGTGGGATGGGGGAAGAGACAAAACAATCAACACACGGGACACTGGAGTTGAAAAGGACTTCTTCATTAGAAGCACATACGGTCACGTATTCATTCACCGATATCGTCTGGTGGGTAAGGGACACAGTTGTGGGGGAGAGAGACACGGCCCGAAACTCGGGAGGGCCTCCTCCTCTCTTGTCGCCAGCGACACGCCTCGTGTCCCGCGGGCTCTCACGCGGGTTGGAAAACTTCCATAGCAGGGGAACGAGACTCTGAAGCAGCGGTGTTTAACCTTTACTCAATCGTTATTTTGTTTTAAATGTTAATAAATACATCGGGGTTGAGGAAAGTAAGTTGTAACTAACGTGCCCGTGCTTAATTTGTGTTTCGATGATTTACCTTAAAATTTTTTTTTAAATCTGGCCACGTCTCGCACCCCCAGAAAGGGCATCTCGCACCCCCAGGGGGTGCAGCGTCCACCCCCTGGTGAAGCAGAAGAACCACTGCTCGAGAGTTACCCCAGAGTGACGTCACAGTGGCACCACAGTGACGTCACTGTGACGCCAGTCCAAGGCGTTTTGTAATTAACATCGGCCGAGATTTCAGATTGGGGGTTCGTCGAATTCCACACGCATTGATCAAGCCGGTTTTCCCCTTCCCGATCCACTGTTTAATGAGGATATCGTCCCAACACCGTGTGGCTCGTGGTGGTGGTCGGGGGGTTATTTGACCATTGATTCACCACGCTGGTCAGTTCGGGTTGGCGAAGGCTGGGAGCATAGACGTACTGTACAACAATGGATGCCGCTGACAGCGTCGCCCCCCAGCTGCCTACAGGACCTCGTGCATGCAAATTAATTGGTGATGCTTCTGCTGCTGCGCTGGCAGTCGTACACAAGCACAGTTAACATGAACACTCAACACATTCGTCAACCATAGACGACGTTTCGGGCAATGGTCCTTCTTCATAGCGCATAAATGAAGGGTAATTGCCCGAAACGTCACCCATTACACATATATTTTGCGTCCTCCTTTAAAAAGCGGAGTTATCGGCGAGTGTGTTGCGTTACCGGTACGGTAATTCTGTTCGATGCGTGGTGGTGGCCCATCCAGGCACTGTCGAGGCTCAAGCCTGCTTGGCTGCACGAGGTTGGTCACGGGGTAGGAGCGCGGGGAGGTATGTGGAGTCAGAGGCTTCCACTTTATTGGGTCGCATCTCCCGCAAGCCGTGTGACGACGGGGCAATTCGGCGAAACTTCCCGGAATGGAGAACAATACCAACTCGCGTAGATCGACGGTCGACACCTCTAAGTTTTACCACAGGTTCGTCCTTTTCGGAGTCTGCTATCCCGACAATTTAGTACGTTTTCCGGGAACGATAATCATTCAAAGTCTGGGTTTTGTATTTATTTTTTTGCCAGTTACGTGTACTCTTCTTTCTCTTTCCTGTTTAACCCCCCCCCCCCCCCCCGATATGTCCCGTTTTTTGTACCTCCCAGGTGGCAACCCGTATTTCGTTAACAAAGATTGTGGCCGGAGGGCGGCTGGACACGACTCACATCGCAGCTTGCAAAACGCGAAACGAACCCAGCTCAGAGACGCGCGCCCATTTGGGCCCTCACGAACAACAACAGTCTGCAGACACACAGACACACACATTGTGTCCGCCCGACGAGACGTACACGTTCATCGTGACAATATTCAACCGTGTGCGGTATCGATAAGTTGGGCGGATGTTGTTGGTGCGCGTGTCGCGCGGCTGGAGTAACGGGACAAGATGACACGGGGCGAGGGGCTCGTCGTCTTGAGGACTGAGCCCTCGCATCTCACAGGCAGCGTCTAACACAGACGACCTCCGATCGCGGGTGTCCGCTTCAATGTTTTATTCTACACTCTCTAGACTTTATACATATATCTATACAGTGAGTGACTCGATGGCAAAAAGAAACACGTCAGAAGAATGTCTATGTATGTACAGGTATTTTACAACAAAAAAAACACACGCATAACACAGTTTTAGTTCAGCGATGTTTTCCCAGCGGAATTTCACGGAGCAGTCAAAACTCTCACGGGCCGGTCTCGAGCTCGTCACGCGGGCCCGTGACCCCTCGCCGGGGTCCGCCCCACGGGTCGGGCGGGGGGCCGAGGGCGAACTGCGCCACGCCGAGGTGGCTGCGGCATTTGGGAGCGAGCCTCTCCGCTCTGTCTCTGCTCAACAACACTCGCCGCCTCCGCTGCCCGCGTCGCGTCCACACGCAACACAGATACACAACACACACACACAGACACACACACAACAAACACACACAACACACACACAACACACACACACACACAACACACACACACATCACACACACACATAACACACACACACATCACACACACACATAACACACACACATAACACACACACACATAACACACACACATAACACACACACACACGCATAACACACACACATAACACACACACACGCATAACACACAACACACACGCATAACACACACAACATACACACAACACACACACAGCATACACACACAGCATACACACAACACACACACAACACACACACTTCTCACCACTCGGCCCCGCGGCGGCTGATGAGCGGCCCGCTGCGCGAAAGTCGTGCGACGATTCAAGACACCCCCACAGCCCCACAGCCCACACACCCCAACACCCCCACAGCCCCACACACCCACACCCCCACACCCCCACAGCCGCACAGCCCACACACCCCAACACCCCCACAGCCCCACAGCCCACACATCCCAACACCCCCACAGCCCCACACACCCACAGCCCCACAGCCCCACACACCCACAGCCCCACAGCCCACACACCCACAGCCCCACACACCCCAACACCCCCACAGCCCCACACACCCCAACACCCCCACAGCCCCACAGCCCACACACCCCAACACACCCACAGCCCCACACCCCCACACCCCCACACACCCACAGCCCCAGAGTCCCACACCCCCACACACCCACAGCCCCCTCCCTTACCACGAACGACGGTCTCGGTTCGTGGTTAAGGTTTTGATTCAATAATAATATAATCGATGGCCGTGCCTTGTTCGTAACTCAGACTGCACCGAGAGGTCTCGACTGCCTGGGTCTGTCTGTAGCTGCCGTCTCGGCGTTTGTCTCGCCCGCCCCGTCCAAACCGCACCTCCGATTGGCGCGGTTGGCTACGTACGGTCCTCTGTGTCTCCTGCACTGTGCCGTCAGTACCGTTCGTCGCTTTTGCGATCTCTATTTAGTCAGCACCATCGTTGTGGCCGAAACGTTTTTTCTTGTCACGTGAATTGTAAATGATCGATCCGTAAAACTCGAACCCCTCGATGTACGCTGGTGGTATCACGAACGTAACAAAAAAAAACCACATCGGTTTGAATCAATCGTTCGACATTCGATTCTTACGCGCATTATTCCACGCATGTGTCGTGAGAATGCGCGTCTTATTTTAATCGATGTAAGCGCTCAACGCCTATCGATGCGCATCGCGCGTGCGGCTTGCGAGCCCGCCGCAAGCAGCGCGCACGTCACTGGCTGGCAGAGGCTACAGAGGGGCCGCGACTTTCAACGGTACCCAGTTCGCATTCCGGTCGAGGTGGTCCAATCAATCCTTCCAAGCCTCCGCGGTCGCTAAAATAAATACAACTGTATTGGAAGCCAACAACGGCGATTGTATTCATGACCGTCCGGTTTATTCGCCGTAGGAACGTGGACATCTCCGCCACCGGCCTTGGGTCCGTAAGGCAGCTTGAGCAACTGCCCAGTGCTCACTTTGAACAGGGAGACACTTACGCTCACGTTACTCACGGTCAATTGCCCGTTCATAAACAAAACAAATCTGATACAGTGCGATATGAAGAATCCGCTAATGTCTTGTTTCACAGTCATCGACCTCCACCGTGATCTTCCCAAACGTAAAGGTGGAGCCTGGGCAAGGCGAGGAAGAGGTTGAGGAGGGAGTTGTGGCGATGGTGGCTTCATCATCCGCCGTCCTGTGCTCTAGCTGCTGCTGTCCATTAGTCAGAGGCTGAAAAGGCAGCACTGGTACCTCCAGCGTCATGTGCTGCTGCTGCTGCTGCTCCTCCTCCAGGCATGTCTCGAGCTCCAGAGGATTGAGTAACACTTCGTCCGAGTGCTCGCGCCCGCGTGGCCCCACGGCGGAGCCACGAAGCTGCAGGAGCTGCGCCTCTTCCTGCAGCCCAGAGAAGTGCAGCGGGTGCGCTGGGGGGTCGAGTTGGTGGAAGATGGGAGAGATGCCCGGCGTGGCGGGGCCCGTGTTGGCGAGAGACGCAATGGAGAAGAGGGAGTAGGTGCGGCCGTGAGGGCCGCACCTCAGCTCCCCCGCGGCCTCCGAGAGCACGGACATTGGGACGGCACCGGCTCCGTTGCCGTTCCCGCTCTGTCTCCTGCAGCAGCCTTTGTTCACCTGCTGCTGCTGCTGGTGGTGCTGCAACTGCTGAAGATGATCGTGATTATGATGATTATTGAGATGATGATCGCGCAGATGAAAAGCATGATGCTCATCCTGTTGAAGCTGATGATTGTTGTTATGATGATGATGATGATGATGCTGTAAGCTCAGCTGCTGAAAAGTCTGTTGATGGTGCACGTGATGCTGCTGCTGTGAAAGTTCACGCTGCTGCTGCTGATGATTATGGTTGTTTGTCGCGTTGCTCACCGCAAACGGCGACGAGTGGACGCGGTCTCCGCCCACCACGAGGCTCAGCCTGGCCGCCAGGCGCTGCCGCAGGCTGCCCAGCGCCTTGCGGAACCTCTTGCTGAGCAGCGCGTATAGCAGCGGGTTCACGGCAGAGTTGAGCAGCGCGAGCCACGAGGCGAGGGTCAGCACCGTGTAGGGGACGCCCGCCGCGGGCCGCACTGCCAGCGCCAGGCTCACCACCTCGTAGGGCAACCAGCAGCAGAAGAAGGCGAAGATGACGAGGAAGAGTCGGAAGGCGCCGTGGTGCTCGCGGCCCGGCGAGTTGTAGCGCGCGAAGAGGTCGTGGCGACGGCTCCGCGCGCGAGTCGCCGGCTCCGAGCCGCCGCCGCTGGGGGTCTCCTCCGAGTGCGGCTCCGCGAACACGCGAGCCGCCGGGTGCTCGAACGAGGACGAGGCGGATGACGACGAGGAGGAGGAGGTGGTGGAGGAGGAGTTGTAGCCGGTCGAGGAGAAGGAGGGCACGCTGAGGTTCGCGGCCGTGCCAGATAAATGTTCTCCGGGGAGGGAGTTGGTGGTGGGGATGCCGGCGATGGGCTGCGCCGATCTGCGCAAAGCCTCCTCCTGCACCTCCTCCTGCTGCACCACCACCACCTTCTTCTTCTTGTGCTTGGTCTTCTTGGTCCTCCTCTTCCTGCGAGTCTGCTCTTCCTTCTCGCACTCGTCGCTCTTCTTCTTGCCGTTGCGCTGCAGCTGCGTCTCAATGTCGTGGATCCTGCGCGCGTGGTCACGAGCCACCTGCAATGATGCGAATCATCGTCGTCATCATCATCGTCATCATCATCATCGTCGTCATAATCATCATCGTCGTCATTATCAGCAGCAGTAGCAGCATTATAGCCATCGTCATGGTCAACAGCACAATCATCATCATCATCGTCTTTTTTCTAATTGTTATTATTGATATAATCACCAACGCCTTCATGGGTCATCATCATTGCGATTATCGTTATAGTCGTCTCGCCATCGTCGTCATCAGTAATGCCAGCCTACGTCACGTGGGACACACCCGCACGCAATACCTCCATCCCACGCGCGCCACGTGGTACGTGTTTAACAATCATCAGGTGCGTGCAGCGCCTGTAATTTGAGCTGTGAATGCTGGGTAAACAGTGAAATTGGCAAAAAAATCACGTCTGATATTTTCGAAAAGTGTTAAGCCACCCAACATCTAAAAGTGAGTCGCGCGGTCCGCATTTTTTGGGCGGGGAATCTCTTGACCCCCCGCACCGAGCCACCCCCCCCCCCACCCTGGACACCGCAGATGTAAGAATTAAATGCTCCCCCTGCGCATGATGATAGTTAAACACGTGGCGTACAGAGCGCGGTAGAGGTCTCGTGTGTGTTGTGCGCGCCCATTCCCCACTTGCGGGGAGCGGTGGTGCAGTGGTTAGCGCACTGCGCTATGAACCCAGCGAACTGAGATTGACTCTTGTTCACAGCCAAATATCAAATCTGAACCGATCCTGGGCCTCTCCTAGGTTGACTCAGCTTTAAAACGAGTACCTGGTGCTGTGTGTCAACATCAGCGTTGGGGATATACAGGTCACCGGGCGTGGTGCTTGCCACCCACCCCCTAGTTAACAGCACTTGCCCCAACCGTCTGATCAAGCCTATACGGGCGATGTTTGTCTTAGTGTGTTCCACTGGACGTAGGGAGCACAGGGGTTAACGGTGATTGTAACACGATGGCTCTGATAGTGATAGCGACATGGATTGGTAATCACAATGGTGGTGATGACTCTAATGATGATGCCGGTGACTAAACTGTGCCCGACGCCTGGGTCCCCCCTACCCGATGCAGTTGCACCGCCTGCACACTCGATAGCTACGGCACTGGGATGCGCTTGATGACCCGAGAGAGAATCGATCCCGTTCTAATCGGGAGGTATAACAATGGGGCAGCACGGTTGCTACATTTCCACGACCACTGGGACCCGTGCCGGCTCGGTTAGATCCACACTGCTGCCATGAGCAGCGCCCCCCCGCCCCCCCCGGCTGTCCTTCCCGCCGCTGCGGCTCTGCACCTTGGCACAGGTGCACAAGGCGAGGAGTCTGGCACAGGTGCACAAGGCGAGGAGTTTGGCTGTTTGGTAAAATTCATGGCCGAGGCGAGGGGGAAAAAAACTCAAGAATTTACAGAAAGGTCGCTGAATAAGGTCGAGCGGTGTCACGCACTAAAACAATTTGTAGATTCATTTTCAATAAAAAAAAACGTCGAAAATGTAAACAAACCATACCTGTAAACCACGTGACAGCCCTTTACCCATACCGCCAAGGATTGATCGTAAGACTTCATTAAAATTCGCGATTTCCGTGACCAAACCATGACACCGCGTGCCAAACTCGTAGCCTCTCGCATGCATGCGCCGGGTCCCGCTAAATCTCTCCTCATCCATCATCATCACCCCTCCTCCCTCCCCCTTCTCCTCCTCCATCACCCCCCACCACCCCCGCCGTGCACCAACGCACCTGCACGATGCGCACGTAGCAGAAGATCATGACGCAGGCGGGCAGGGCGAAGGAGCAGGCGGCCGCGAACACCGTATAGCCGGGGCTGCTGGCGCTGTCCACGGCGCATCGGAACGCCCACGAGCTGTAGGCGAAGCGGCCCCAGCCGAGGGCGGGCGGGCTACTGGACAAGGCGGCCTGCACCCAGATCCAGCCCACGGTGCCCACGGTTCTCCGCACGTTGGCCTGCGAGCTGTAGTTGAAGCAGTCGATGATCGCGCGGTAGCGGTCGAGGGCGATCGCTGCGAGCGTGAGGACCGACGCGGTGCAGTAGAGGGTGCAGGTGTAGCCCACGTAGAGGCACAGCCCCTGTGACGCAAGGCACGCGGGGTGCAAGGGGGTCAGGCGCCAAGGTGGCTTCGGGAGAGTGCAGGGGGTAGGGGCTGTGAACACGTGGAGCGGGGTTTGGGTGGCGGGGTGAAGGGGGGTATGACGCGTGGAGGGGAGTGGGTGCAGATGTTGTGGTGGGGGTGCCGGGTTAACGTCGGCGTGCCGGGTTAACGTGGGGGTGGAGGGTTAACGTGTGGGTGGAGGGTTAACGTGGGGTGGAGGGTTAACCTGGGGTGGAGGGTTAACGTGGGGGTGGAGGGTTAATGTGGGGTGGAGGGTTAATGTGGGGTGGAGGGTTAACTTGGGTTGGAGGGTTAACGTGGGGGTGGAGGGTTAATGTGGGGTGGAGGGTTAACGTGGGGGTGGAGGGTTAACGTGGGGGTGGAGGGTTAACGTGGGGGTGGAGGGTTAACGTGGGGGTGGAGGGTTAACGTGGGGGTGGAGGGTTAACGTGGGGGTGGAGGGTTAACGTGGGGGTGGAGAGTTAACGTGGGGGTGGAGGGTTAACGTGGGGGTGGAGGGTTGGCGTGGGGGTGGAGGGTTGGCGTGGGGGTGGAGGGTTAACGTGGGGGTGGAGGGTTAACGTGGGGTGGAGGGTTAACGTGGGGGTGGAGGGTTAACGTGGGGGTGGAGGGTTAACGTGGGGTGGAGGGTTAACGTGGGGGTGGAGGGTTAATGTGGGGTGGGGGGTTAACGTGGGGGTGGAGGGTTAATGTGGGGTGGAGGGTTAACGTGAGGGTGGAGGGTTAACTTGGGGTGGAGGGTTAACGTGGGGGTAGAGGGTTAACGTGGGGGTGGAGGGTTAACTTGGGGTGGAGGGTTAACGTGGGGGTGGAGGGTTAACGTGGGGGGGGAGGGTTAACGTGGGGGTGGAGGGTTAACGTGGGGGTGGAGGGTTAATGTGGGGTGGAGGGTTAACGTGGGGGTGGAGGGTTAACTTGGGGTGGAGGGTTAACGTGGAGGTGGAGGGTTAACGTGGAGGTGGAGGGTTAACGTGGGGGTGGAGGGTTAATGTGGGGTGGAGGGTTAACGTGGGGGTGGAGGGTTAACGTGGGGGTGGAGGGTTAACGTGGAGGTGGAGGGTTAACGTGGAGGTGGAGGGTTAACGTGGGGGTGGAGGGTTAATGTGGGGTGGAGGGTTAACGTGGGGGTGGAGGGTTAACGTGGGGGTGGAGGGTTAACGTGGGGGTGGAGGGTTAACGTGAAGGTTAAAAGGGGGGTGCGGGGGTGGGGTTCCATTGAGTTCACTTTGGGGGCTCCAGGGCTTTAACTTAAGACGTGCATCGATTAATCGATGAATATCAAGTGATAAACTCACAATGCATCGCGCATCGCTTGTGCAAGAACCTAGTGTATTGTTTTATATTCGCACCCTTGTGTGCATTAGAGTCACTGCGATCCCCGCTGCCACTTGAGGCGCTACCATTCACCGCGATTATTCACCTCGAGTATTAAACGTGCGTTTTGTTTGTACCCTCCTTGACTGCGTTGGCTTCGATCGTACCGCCGACTCCCGCTCGTCGTTGGCGATGACGTCTGCCAGTCAATGTAACGCGACTACGTTGGTGACGGCGTCTGCCAGTCAATGTAACGCGACTACGTTGGTGACGGCGTCTGCCAGTCAATGTAACGCGACTACGCTGCAGCCCTCCTCTCTCCGTTCAATCGACGACTCGAATGCGCCCCATCCTAAGCCGTGGCGGTCCCGGGTGTTGTTTGACCATACTTCGCCACGCTGGTCAGTCAGGGTTTGTGAAGGGTGGGGAAAGGGGTTGGGGGTGGAGCAACATCGGTTTAGATTTCACTCGCCACTGTTGCTGGCCGTTGCTGGCAGCACCGGGTTCATAGCGCAGTGCGCTAATCGCAGCGTCACTACTCCATCCGTGGCGATAGTCGGCCTCCTGGCTGAAGGCGCTCTCTGGACCAGTGGTTCTTCTTCTTAACCTGGGGTGCACGCACCCCCAGGGGGTGCGAGATGCCCATTCTGAGAACCAAAAGGGTTGCAGGCTGCAGTCAAGGTTAAGAACCACTGCTCTAGAGTATCTGCTGACACCACGTGGGCAACTAATTACGAGGCACTGATGAAACGTGCACGAATCATCTTCCCAATACGAATCATTTTCCTGGAATCATCTTCCCAAGATGATGAATTGCCGAGTGTTTCAAGAATGAAGGAGCGAATGAATGGAATCCCAAATGTGTGACCAAGTTGGTTGTGCACGAACGTGCGTCCATATTATTGCGCCGTCGGATAACGAAACGTCACCAAACGCAGACACCACCTCACCCCTTCCTCCCCCATTGGGGCAGCTGTCCTTGCGCGGAAGAAGGAGATTCAAACATCTCGCTCGGTGACTTCTGGAGTTAAAATCAGAATGAAGGACGCGCATCTCTGAATAGATCATCCGATGGATGCTGCTGCTGAAGACGACGGCGACCACGTGTTGAGACTGTGCGGTGGGTGCGAGTGAATTGTATGGGACGCGGGAGACCCGCGCACCTGCTGTAGAACCCAGCCGTCGTAGATGACGGACATAGCCACGAACGGCATCACCCCCACGCCCACCAAGAAGTCGCTCACGGCCAGGTTGACGAGGAAGACCGAGGTGACCGAGTGGAACTGCTTGGTGACGGCGATGATCACCACGACGAGCAGGTTGCCTGTAGAGGGGCGAGCGAGCAGGCGGAGAATTCACAAAGTGCACTCCACGTGATATGGCCCGTTAGACCCTTTTTCAAGGTGCACCCAAAAGGAGAACATGCTGAATCATGCACCAAGTGTACTGCGAGTCTCAGAGAGAGGGTGGCACCTTTATAAATGAGACTCAAAAGGATTGGACTGGTGTTCATTTCCCAAGTGTACCCAGTTGGCACGGTAGGCGGCTCAATTTCATGGTGCTGCCCAAAAGGTCTAGCAGATATCTATTTTACAAAGTGCACCCAAACGATAGGTCAGGAGGGTCAAATACACAAAGTGCTCTCAACTAGCTGGACAGATGTCTCTTTCAAAAAGCGCTTTCAAAGGTGCTCTTTTACAAAGTGTACCTAAAGGGTCAGGCTGGTAGCATTTTTACCAGTCCAGCCAAAGGGTCGGGACGGTGGTTCTCTTACAAAGTGCACCCAAATCATCGGTCAGATGGTTCATTGAAAACATTTCCCTTGAACGAGGCTCTTTTCCTAAGTGCCCGACAAGCCACGTATTTGTACACTCAAGAGGCAGATGACGCCGATGGTGATGATGCTGGTGATGGCGATGATGATTCAGGTGGTGGCAGGAGGAGGAGGTGGTGGAGGTGGTGCTGGTCTGACACCAACCTGCGACAGCCGCCAGACACATGACAACCATGAGCAGCTGCAGCGCCACCCTCCAGAGATCGGTGCGGACGCGCAGCGGGGGCTGCAGGCCCAGGGAGCCCTGCGCGTCGCCCGTGAGCGGCGCGCCCCCCGTGCCCGGGTGCCCCGGCGTGCTCGCGGCGGCCTCCGTGGACGCCGCTCCCGGGGTGCAGTTGACGCATTGCGCGGTGGTGGAGTAGAGCATGGTGGAGTACAGCACGATGGAGTACAGCATGCTGGAGTACAGCATGGTGGAGTACAGCATGGTGGAGTACAGCATGGCTCGGCACCTCCCTGCGCGCCGCCGCCGCTGCTGCTGCTGTTGATACTGCTGTTGATGGTGATGTTGATACTGATGTTGCTGTTGCTACTGTTGCGAGTGCTACTGCTGCTGGTGGTGGCTTGATGATGGTTGATGTGCCGGTTTGCTTGCGAAGCTGCTGATGCTGCTACTGCTGTTCGAGTTGTCGGTGCTCGTTGTGCCGACAATTCTGGTGCCGCTGCTGGTCCTGACGGCTGTGGTACGGGTGCTGCTGATGGCGCAGGTTGTGTTGCTGTTGTTGGTTGATGGTGGTGGTGATGGTGTTCGCGATGGTAGTGGTGGTGATCAATATGAGCGATGGGAAAAGGGCCGTGTTCAGCCGTGCACCCTCCGCCACGGGTACGAAGTCCTCAGCCCCGGCACGGGAGGTGGCTCGCGTCCCATGGTGAGAGTCACAGTCCCCACGCGGAGAGGTCTCGGGAGAGCTTATCCCATCTCACCGTCGTCTCGGGTGAAATCGCCCAAGACGCCAACTTCCCAAACGCGCAACACGAAGAACGACGCGAGGCCCGAGACTGGGTGCTGATGGTGATGACGACGACGGGCAGTCTTATCTCTACCCCCGTGCTCTGGCGCTCTGTGAACGCGGAGACTCTGATGCATTAACGGAGCCCACCCTCCCCCTCGCCAACCCCCGCCCGCGAGTCCTCCTTGCGGTCCCTTCCTGTCGAGCCCTGCTCGCTGGAGTCGGAGCAGCGCTGGTTATTGTCGTCTCAACGAGTTCTCAAGTCGACGGGGTGACAACGGGCCGCGGGTGTGCACAGGGAGACCTCCGCGAGCCGTCTCCTTCAATCTCTCGCGCTGCCGCTCCGCACCCTAGAACCCAGATAAGAGGCTCGGCTCTCCGCGGAGTGAGCGAGATGAGAGGAAGGTAAACCTCCTGGGTCGGAGACGCTTGCAGCGCGCCCAGTGCTGCTGATGTTCTGGGTAATAAAAAAAAAAGATCAGCGATTTGCGCCGCCGTCGTAGTTTCTTCCTGGCGAGGGTTCGCAACACTCCTCGCAGAGCGGAGCAGAGGAGCGCGGGACTACCTTGGGGGAACGGGCGGTGGACCGACGAGGAAGATGAGGACAAGAAGGATGAGGTTGCGGCACCCAACCCCGTTTACCCGCGACACCGCAGCGCACACGAGCCAGCCCTCGACAGCAAGTGAGCGCGAAGCGGGTTTGCCTGTGGGTTTTGTGCCCCCCCCGCCCCTAACCTTCCCCTTCTCCCTCCCTCAACACTGGCCACTCTCCCCATCCCCTGCCTCTCTCCCGTCGCTGCTCCCCCGCACACACACCCCGACGTCCTCCATCCTCCCCGCCTGATCGCGATAGGATGTCACAGGCGCACGTGCAGCGCCATAGACTCGTCGTCGTTATTAATAGACCCGGTGGTTGGGAGCGGCGTTCCTCCATACATGCGCGCGCATGTCTACATTGCTCCAAATGTCATCGCTGTGAGCGCCGATAATAATCGATCCATCAGTGCCCTCTTCCGTTAATCAACAAAGGACTACTTTGTCGAGGCATCAATTGATTTACGAGCAAAACGATTTCCCAACCATTTAGTTAATTGACGAATCGTTTATTTGCATAGTGAATCATTATAATAAACGCACTGTGTACAAAAGGCAGTCGGTTTGAGGACTGTTTTTTTTTCAAACTGCATTGCCCATTAACTCACAGCACCTTGATTAATTGTTTAATAAGTAAACACTGCGGGCATCGCGTCGTGTCCGTGATTAACCCCTAAACAGAAGCGCGGTCGCGGGGTCTTGTTTACATTTCGGCAAAAGCAACACCACGTATGGCCACGTTATGTGCTCCAATGCTGATGCAGAAACATCGCATTAGGTAATAATTTTAGGTTGAATCGACCGAGGAGAGGCCCATAAATAGCACCATTAGGCGCCAGGGGCAGAACATTTCACAGCACCGTCGACAGCACCGTTTCAGGACCAAGATCAGGACTGTTTCAGGACCACGGACAGAAACCATGATTCACTATAAAAGGTATCAAATCAGTATTAGGGACACCATCGTTTCAACACTACACTAATGTGATCATCCAGTACCAGGGACAGCGTCATTCCATAGCAGGGGCAGCAGGACCATTTCAGGACCAAGGACAACAACAGAATTCAGAACCATGGACAGCACCATGGACATAATTCGCAACGATGGACTACATTATTCAGCATCGGGAACAGGTAACAGAAGAATACATTCCGCTGGTGGAGTATAGCCCACAGCCACTCGGTAAAAACTCGTGCAACAATGAACCCGAGTTCCAATGTCGTTATATGGCCGATTAAAGTTAATCAATATATACTAACACTTTCAGTCCTGTTAGCGGTTATAAAATGTCACCCATGGCCACAGTTATTCTAATTACTATTTTTAAACCCTAACTCTTGAGACGTTAGGTTGTCCCGATGTCTTAAGGAATTTGTTTTGGCCCATGGACTCGAAGCGTTATCGACGAGTAATGGTTGACATGTTTGGTACAAAGGGCATTTGGATCAAACAGATTTCTAATTCAACCTGGTAGGTTTTAAAAGCACGCTATTTACGAATCCAATTCAGCCATGTAGTTTATAAGCAGGAATTAAATAATAAATATCTGTGGGAGATCTTATGGACCAATGCATAAGCTGTGCGTGTCTGTCTGACCATACCCCATAGAGTACAAAGCTTTTAACTTCCGGCTCACGCCACCGCTGTCGGAAAGACCTCCGCCCGAGGTAGCGCGAGAGAGCCACTCGATCGGGCATCTCGCCTGCTCTCCCACGCTGGCCGGACATCCTGGAAGAGGCGGGAGCACCCACGCTTTACCCCACCGCACGCGACCCGCCCGATCGACTGAGGTGTGACGCATTTCTATTTATGGGTGGTCCTGGAAATAGGAGATCGAAACGGACCGGCGACCCCGAGATTGCAAGTCCGCTTTGCGAGCCATTACAGCACCCACACCCGACACAGCGCACGCAGGCAATCGGTTCCGTGTGCACAGCGGCAGGCGAAAGGTGATCGGTGACATCGTTGTGTAAAGCACGAGGTCATGCCGAATAAGAACGCAATATTAACATCGAGAGGGGGCCCCATTCAGTCCATCTGGCTCGTTCGATCGTCGAGCAGGGCGCGTGGGGAAGTGCAGCGGCCTCTGGTGTGGGGAAAGAGGTCATTGGAAAGGAAGTTAGCAGTAGTTCTGTCAGTGGTTCTTAACCTTTACTGCAGCCTTGTACCGCTTTGGTTCTCAATCGACAAAACATGTACCATGTTCATCAATACACAGAGGGTTTGAGCGAACAAAGCCAGCTGTAACTCACGTGCCCGTGCTTAATTTGTGTTTTCGATGATTTACCTTCGAACAAAAAATCTGGCCACGTCTCGCACCCCCAGAAAGGGCATCTCGCGCCCCCAGGGGGTGAAAAATAAGAGCCACTGTTCGATGTTGTCTCCTTACAGGATCGCTTTCTGACGTGGGGGTGATAACACCGTTCGCTGCAAGAGTTCCAAATGGTAAGGCGCATTTCTGGACACGAGACCAACAGCAGCATTCACGTAGCATGGGAGGGGAGGAAGGAAAAATAAAACACGCGAGAACATAATAAAAAAACAACATAACACAAGGGTGAGCAAATGTGTTTCACATTTCAAAATGAAACAAGCGAACCCCCCCCCACCCCCATCCAACCCCCGCCGACTCCTCGTGAAGCCCACGCATCTCACGCGTCGTGATTGACCTCGAAACACACCGAGGACTCGTCATAAATATCACGCCGCATGCGCCGACGCGGCTAGCACAGCGGGCAGCGAGACTAATTTGAGGTTTGTGCCGCTGTTTGAAGTCTAATTGTGGAAAAGGGGATGCGGTGATGGGAGTTGGGGACCCCGGTCCACAGCACCCCCCCACCCTACCCACATCTCTCACGCCACCCACCCCTCACTCGCTACAATTCAGGGTCACGGCGCCCTCAATTAAAGAGCTGCACGCACGGGACAGCCCCGGTTTCCCCGTCCACATGGGCAGCGAAATGAGAGCGCTGCATACAGCGGGATTCGTGCTGTGGCTGGTGGGACAAAGCGATTGCACGGGCACACTTGAAACCAACAGAACGTGTCTGGCTCCAAGCTCTTGCCAACATTCCTCCTCCATCTAAACACACCCGCCGTCAGCACGCCGTCAACGAACTGAATTGCAGAGATAATTGTGCCAAAATTTGCCACTGTTCAAGGTCACGTGGAATGAAGTTCGGAGCAGAGGTCCCCATCTGGCCAACGCTGCGCCCTTGTCAGCAGGATGAGGACCATCACCAGCTCACCGCGGTGGATGGAATGGGGAGAGAAAGAGCCTCTGCCACCATCAGCAAATCGCGCATAATCACGCGGGCTGGATGAGCGCGGCCCACCTGGCTTTGAGCTCGCGCGGCGCCTTTGGAACCATCTCAAGAGGGTTCACAACGTGCGATGAGGTTCTATGTCACAAAGCCGACCATTCCCGGGGGTATCCGCGATAGCCCACTGCAGCTGCTGTGGCGTGAAGGAGGGTGCTTGCACACGTGATTAAAAGCTTCCATTTCCATGCCAGATATATTTGTCGGTCTGTGTGTTTTCTATGGGTCCTCGGCCCGAGTCTATGGGTCTCTGTGCGAGTCTATTGGTCTCGGTGATGCTGCATGCATGTTGCATGGCTGGTCTTTCTATACGAGACTCCCAAGGGGTCTGCTAAAGCTGAACACTGTTGACTCAAGAGGCCGCTGAACGATTGAGACAATGTGCCTGTATTTGAAAAATTTGGACCTCATCTTGCCTGTCTTACCCACAAGCCATTTATACATCATGTATATTTACGAAGGTGGGAACCATGCTGGCTCGAGTGGGATTCATAATGAGCAGTGTGGATTCATATTCTGACGAGTGAGATTTAGCCTCCTACTGGAACTGGATTCTGTTCTCACATGGAAAGGGACATTTTTGGAAATCTCAACTTGAAAGTTTTCAACCTGTGCACTTCGCCAGAAGATGTTTCAGAAACATGGACACTGAGACACAAAAGAAAACGGTCAAAACGTGCACAAAGAGGTATGACGAGATGCATCCCTGGAATCACACCGAGCCACGGCAAGATGAACAACAGATGGATCAGAAAGCAAACACATGCCTCATTTTAATTAAGTGGGTTTAAGCAAGACACGTTGCTAGAGGGAATTGTGGCAGATGCACGAGTGATGGAGTGGCAGTAGTCAAGAAGAGAATGCGCCTGGGGAATGAACACATATAAACCATCACCGCGCGAACTCCGATCATCCTCGCAGCAGCGGCTTCTGGCTGGCCATCCGACAAAAACGGTGGTCACTGCATCGCACGGCGCTTTCAGATGCGCTTCTGCGGCCGTCTGGAATGCTCTTCCTTCCGATATTAGGAAGCCACTGGAGCTATCCACGTTTAAATCAATATTGAAAACTAATTTCTTTCGAACTAATTTAGCATACTTGGCTACGTACGGTGCGAAAGATGTTCAACATACATACTGCGGAGACGAAGCAGTAAGATCAGATCATGTACAGGAGTCAGACGGATTGTGGAATCGTAGGGCCATGAGGGTCGATGATAGCGTGGGGGTGGCCTTCATCCAGCAGTTGATAGAACACGACTGCTGGTAACTAGGGTGGTATTCCGTCTATATGGGCATGGAATTTAATACGATGGAAACAATTATTTATTTACCAAAGAAGGCCTCACTGAGCCTCAAGCCACTTCCAGGGCACTGCAACGGGGGAGTTTAGTTAAAGCAGTGCCACGCGAGAGCGGCTGGCACGTGGAAGGAAATATCAGCATCCTGAGAAAAAAAACCCATGCAAGAAATGAGGATGCCATACTGAGCACTGCAATCTCCCAGCCACCCCGCAGCCCCAAGCCTACAACACCTGGCAAGCCTGCGTGGTCACCCATCCAAGTTATAACCAGGCCCTACTCCGCTTAGCTTACACTACTGTATGACAAGATTGGGAGCCTTCGAGGTGATTTGCACCAAGGCTGGTACAGGGACACATTGCCATCATCGTTTCAACACCACAATAATGTAATCATCCAGTACCAGAGACAGCGTCATTCCATAGCAGGGGTAGCAGGACCATTTCAGTACCAATAATTCAGGACCATGGACAGCACCATGGACAACATTTGCAACGATGGACTTCATTATTCAGCATCGGGAACAGGTGACTGAAGAATACATTCCACTGGTGGAGCACAGCCCCAACCCAGATGATCGCTTGCCAACAGCACTGGCCGCAATCCTGTAACAGCGCGAGGATGTCGGTCTTTTGGTCTCCGTACAATCGCGCGCGTGCGGCAAGGTTACCTCAACAAGGTTACCTCAACAAAGTTCCCTCAACAAGGTTACCATGCCCCATGAGCAGCCGAGTAGCTCAAGTGCGCGGGGCCGTGCCCGAAGGCTGCCCGTACTCTCGAGCCTCGTTACCAACTCCTGAGCACACGTGAAGGACCAGCACCCGACTCTGCTGTGCTCCGACCTGTTCGGCATGCGGCACCAGCAGCAACAGTGTCAGCACTAGGAACAAATACAAGATCCCCCTTGTAATCCTAACAGGCTGTTGGGGCCAGTGCTGTTAGCGAGTAGGACCTATGAAGGCTGGCACGGCACACGAGGTGGTGGGTGGCCAGCACCACGCCGGGCCGCCTTTGTCTCCCTAGCGGCGATGTTTACACATCGCATCAGGTACTCATTTGAGGCCGAGTCGAATTAGAGGAGGTCCAGTACCGGTTCAGATAATCATCACCGGCGTTGGTGGCTGTGAGCGGGAATCGACCTCGTGTCGCTGGGTTCGTAGTGCAGGGTGCTAGTACCATCAACTCTACCAGCAGCAGCAGCACCACCACCACCAACAGCACAACCACCACCACTGATCAAGAGCAACATAACTAGCAGCAACAACAGCAGCAACACCCCCCCCAGCTCCCTCGTTAGCGCTCACCACCTACAGTGCAGTGCGGCGCACACAGCAGCATCAGTCGAAATGCGTTTGTACACATCATGGTGCTTGTTTATTCGTTACACTTATTGGCACATTCTGGAGTCGGTACACCGCTGAAATGAACCACTAAGACAATCTTTGCGCACTACAGGAATTCATAAATAACAGCTGCTGACGTGGGAGTGGAAACGCGCGCGATTCACATCTGCAATAACATCAACACCGACGATACACATTAGACCAGTTGCTAAAAATAGGATCCGTACCCACATTTATGGACATACATGCTGGGGTGAGTGCCGTTAGCGAGCCAGCACGGCGCACGTGGTGTTTACACACGGCACCAGGTACTCACCTGAGGTCCTTTGTACCGTGTATTTGTGTGAAGGTGTGCATTGGTGCGGTGGTGTAGCGGTTAGCGCGCTGCGCTACGAACCTAGCGACCCGGGTTCAATTCCCGCTCACGGAAAACACCGGTCCTGGGCCTCCCCTAAGTTGACTCTGCTTCAAATGAGTACCTGGTGCGGTGTGCGGTAAACATCGCCACTAGGGAGACAAAGGCGGCTGGGCGTGGTGTTGGCCACCCACCCCCTCGTGTGCCGTGCCGGCCTTGCCCTAACAGTCTATTAAGGCTATATGGGGGATCTTTGTATTTGCATAGGTGCACATGTGTAACCCACAAACACGTGCACACAACAGACTGAGGGGAAAGAGGAGAATGGTGTGGCCACCACCATGCCCGGCCGGCCGCTTTCGTCAACTTAATGTTCAAACACTCCACCAGATACTCATTTTAGGCTGAGAATATGTTCAGATAGCAATAGCCAGGAATCAAACTCATGTTGCTGGGTTCGTAATGCAGTACGCAAGCCCAGGTACCACCATTGTTCCACATACACAGACACAAACACACACAAAGACACGCAGGCACACACAAGGCACATGAAGTGAAGGATGGTCTCTCAATGTAGGACAGAGGACAGGGAAGACACAGGGCGAAGAGTCCAGATCCCCTGGTGGCACCAAGAGGGCAGAGAAGCGATGCCCGACGAGGATGTGAAACGGCAGAGCCAACCACCCCATGGATGCCTGGCTCATCGAGAGTCAGGGCCGCTGACGAGGGGGAGGAGGAGGCGGTGTGGGCCTCAGCGCGGGCACAGCAGGTGCTGGCGCGCGTACTCCCACACGAGCAGGGCTCCGCTGACGTGCACGTTGAGCGAGCGCACGACCCCGAGCTGAGGGATCTGGACGCACGCGTCCAGCTGCTGCAGCAGCCCTGCGGGCACCCCCTCGCGCTCGTTACTGCACACGCACGCAGACGGGCACACGCAGGCGCACGTGAGCGCACAGCCACACGTGGCAACACATACGCACGCCCCATGTATGCACACACAAAGAAAAAGACAAAGATTCCCCGTATATAGGCTTTTGAACGGACTGTTGGAGCAAGTGCTGTGAGCTAACACCACTGCCGGCTACATCGCACTTGAAGCTCATTGAAGGCTGAGTCGATCTCGGTGAGGCTCTAGACCACTGTTGTTGCTCATGAGCGGAAATCAAAGTCAGGTTGCCAGGTTTGTAGCACAATGCACTAACCATGCGCCACCATCCTCCAAATACAAACATCCCCCATATAGCCTTAACAGACTGTTGTGAGAAAGTGCTGTTAGCTGTTAACCATACGCACATGCGCACACAGGCGTGCACGGGGTTAATGGGACAGTCAGTTTCTCCAGCGCAGAATGACACAATACCTGGCCACTGTCATCATTAACACTCCCTTATAACTCAACTAAAAATAGTACGCACAACAATGCTCCATTCAATTTCCCTTCTTCAGAGCAGACAAGGCAGGGGGGGTTTGCGATGCAATAATGAACGCCCAGAGCTGACATGCACAGCAACCGAGCGCGAGTAATGACGCATCAATTAACGTCGTTTCTTATTCTCGCAGTCCACGCACTGCGAGCACATGAAGCACCGACCACGACTGCGTAAAGTGTCGGCGAATGTTGCATGGAGGCTCATGTACAGAAGTCAGAGAGAATATCAAATTCATAGGCGACAACCGAAGCAAGCCAATTCGGTGAATCGCTCGGGATGAATTACTGGCGACCTATTGGCTACACCTCTATGTGTGGTACATAACCTCACGTGGAGCACGTGCTATGTCATAGTTGCACTGAAACTGACAAGATGGAAAATTCACACTAGGCAAAAAGGCGAATGAATACAGACTACAACAACAGGCGCGCATGCACGGACAAAACAAATATCCCCCGTGTAGCCTTAACAGACTGTAGGAGCAAGTGCTGTTAGCGAGCACCTATAAAGGCCGGCACGGCACACGAGGGGGTGGGTGGCCAGCACCACGCCCGGCCGCCTTTGTCTCCCCAGTGGCGATGTTTACTATACACCGCACCAGGAACTCGTTTGAGGCTGAGTCAACCTAGAGGGAGGCCCAGGACCGGTTCAGATAATCGTCACTGGCATTGGCTGTGAGCAGGTATCGAACCCGGGTCGCCAGGTTCGTAGAGCAGCGTAGCGCTAACCGCTACACTGCCGCTCCCCGCACGCGCGCAGAC